AAAACTAATTTTCATGATAGTAACAAAATTTTGTTTTTGGGAATCTGGACATGAGGGTGTCTTCATTGTACTCGATTTATTTTTCTAATGACAAAGTACAAACTACAACATAAATATACAGAATTATAGAAAACTCCACGGGCTTTCAGAATATGTAATTGGTTTTAAAAGAATATGTTGTCATAGTGACAATATAAGTCAAATACGGACTAAAGCTATTTTTTTCCAGGGGTATAGATAATGGCAATGTGCAGCGAGCGGTCGAAACATTTGGATCGTCATTGAACACGATGGCATTGTCTATATGTGTATGTTGGCGTCTAATGTCAGATTACGTCCAATCTCAGATCCGCCTGACAATATCTAATCATAAGTGATATAACACAAAAAATAATTCCTAATATTTTTAACATTCTACGAACAGAAGCCAAACCTGTACATAGAATATACAGCAAAACCTCTATAATGTGGGCATCATCGGGATTCACTCAGAAGCGTTCATAATCAGGATGTGCTCACTTACGAGAAGTCGATTATCAACAAATATCGGTTTTTGCGGACCCTTCAAAAACGCTCATAATAACGAGGTTTCCACTATAAAGAAATGTTCACTAGTAGAGGTTTTACTGTAATACACTTAATGTCTAATTTGAGATTCACCTAGACTAATCTCGGATTAGATACTAAGTGTATTATGTTCTATGTGGAGGTCTTGATTCTGCTCGTAGAATGTTAAAAATATTAGGATCTTTTTTGTGTTATATTACTTATAATTGGATGTTGTACTTTGTTGAATATAATTTAATGTGCCATGGTTCACTTTTGCTTTAGAGTAATATGTTAGTAGATCTGAGATTGGCGTAGGCAGATCCGAGATTGACCGTATTAACTTTTCAATCCGACATTGGCCTAGCTCAATCTGAGATTCGCCTGAAATTGTCAGGCGGATCTCAGATTGGACGTATTGCAACTGATCAATCCGAGAATGGCCTGAATTAACGTCCGTCCAAAGTCGGATCCCAGATTGGACGCGTCCAAAGTGAAATCCTAGATTGACCTAGACGAATCTGAGATCGGACGTAATCTGACATTGGACGCCAACATGTATATAGCTATCGTAGGGTAAAATCTGTCTCAAGCAGTTGTTTGCATATGATCCAAAGTGTGCTATCGTATTAGCTTTCAAGATAACCGACAAGAGGAAAGACAAATATGTGAAATTCATTCTCTTCGATTATATCTCATAATTTATCAAATACTTCAAGATTTTTTGCATTATCTAAAGATGTTTTTAATCACTTCATATCGAGGGATCTTAGAATAGGTTAATCATTATAGTACCTGCGAGTGTGAGCGTGTTTCGTTGTGGGTCCATGGATATTGATTGAGTGAATACAAAAATTGAATCCTCCACCCTCATTAACATCCACTCATGCTCACACTCTAGTGTGGCTGCAGATCTTTCTTCACTCACATCTACTCACTCAGACCCGAAATAGACAAGTGCGCGATAAGCAAGTAGTTATTATTATACTTACTTTCTGTCTAACGAGGCACATCACAATTTTGCTGTTTTTTTTTTAAGGATATATAAAGACTACGAATAGTCTGTTTCGGTATTAAATAGCTCGCAAGGCTTTCTTACCCGTCCTGGATACGATGACTATCGTCGAGCTTATCTACATACTGTTTTTAATCTACAATGCTGATATTGTTGCTGGGAGAACGCGTGAAGATTTCGACAGATTAGAAACACTGCAGGCCGATGATAATATATTAGATGATATTTTGAAAAATGAGCCTAGTTTAGGCACAGTTGTTGTGAATACTCAAGTATTTACAATGTTCAATTATCAAGGTAGTCAGATTTACGTCTATAATGCACTGACAAATGAAAACGAAAATCTTCTCACGCCTCAGAAGTGGATCTTCTATTTTGTACCAATTATGCTACCAGCAATAACAAATGACTTAGATACTGAATGGGTCTTCACAGTCAGAAATGAAATTAGAATCAATTTGATGCTGAGTAATGAAGATGTTCAAGAATTGGCAAGAAGAGCAATTATCAAGAAATATGATTTGACCATTTCTCAGTATTCAAAATTTTGGGACGTTGCTCCATTGATGATCGACTCATTGATGGCTTACATTGTTCGTGGAACAAATTTACCTGTTCAAGGTGTACATCCTTACAAAGCTATACATCCAAATCAGTTGACTATGCAATTTCGTTTTTACTGTTCTTCGGAAGAACATGCAAAAGAAATCGTACAAAAGATTATCGATGATACTTATGAAATTGAAGTGGCATTTTACTTTTCCGGTTTCAGACAAGTTACAACAAATCTTATATCGATTACCAGTGATCAGTTGAAGAGTGTACTCAGCAAAACGATTGCCGATGGAGGAAATAATAATGCTCAATACATTCATCGAAATCAAGGATCAACATTTGTCAGCAAATATGTGACGAATGTAAAGAAAATGATTTACATGGAGAATTCAAACGCAAATATCTCAATTTTATCTGCCGGTCTAGAAGACCAATTCATTTCATTATTACAACAAGGTAGATATATCTATGATATGTGCATAATCTAATATATTTTGATTTTGCTGTGCTGTAGGGATGGCTTTTTCGGAGGAACAAAAAATAAATGTCAAACTGTATGATCAGGTTTGGTCAGCTTCAGATTTGAATCCTGACCGAATGACCAGTGAACTCAAGAAACTGTTTACTTACAATAAAACTGAAACAGAACGTCACAACTTTTCAGATAACTATTTTGATTTTAACCAGGCATATGCACAATCATCGTCTAGTTCAGGAGGTGGCAGCCTGAGTATTTTCGGCATCGGCTCTATTGGTGGGAGTGGTGCGTCGTCGGATTCATCGTCAAACCATCTGTTAACAACGACGCAGTCAATATTTTCACAAACAGAAATTCAACATTTCCTTACTCAGCAATCAATTGAAACCGCATGGACTGGTGAAAAATTCATTCCTAAATCGTTCTATGTTTACAGACTCACCGATATTACTGATCGACTTCAAGTTGCAATCATAGCGAAACAACTCATAGCCGAGAAAGCAAATGGTGCTATTGTTCGTACAGTCAATACCAGAGTGACAGCATCCGTAGTATCGAATAGATATTCCTGGCCACTCATAGGTGAGATTAAACTGTATTCTGGCAATGAATCTTTTCTACCACGTCCTTGGGTATTCTGTCATGGACAAGCTCTCTCTCGTATCGAATATCAGCGTTTATTTTCTGTGATTGGTGAGAAATATGGAGCGGGGGACAGAAAAACGACTTTCAATGTGCCAGATTTTCGTGGCCGCTTCCCTTTGGGTCTCAATATGACACAAAGTCATAAAATCACTATAAACAGAGGAGGGAGTGCAACACAAATCCTCACAACCAATCAAATGCCTACTCATCTACACAATGAGGGCACATTATACACTGTGAATGCAGGTAGCCATGGTCATACAGTTAACGATCCAGGACATAACCATGGCGGCAAAACGGATACGAGGAGAGGTGGTGCTGGTGGGTGGAATCTAAAAGCTAATGGAAATGGTCAGTTTGATGACTGGGCAACACATGAGCATGTTATTCCAGTTGGTACAACTGGAATTTGGCTTTCGAATAATGGTAATCACTCTCATTTAATTAGGGGTTCGACAGCTTCAACGGGAGGCGGGCAACCGTTCAGCATAATGCCACCTTATGAAAGCATTGATTATATCATTTTTACTGGTGATTATTGACAAAATGATTATCAGATTTCAGTGAAAACTACACATTGTAATACTTGCCTATCTTTTGCTGTTGCAGCTAATGTTCTTTCTCTTTTGAATAAAACTTAATCAATAAAATTCAAATGAGTCGTTGTCTGTATTCAGATACATAGTTCTAATAAATTCGAGAATACTGCACTTTTGTATACGCTGTATATGAAATATTTCACGCGTACTATCGCACATCTTCCAACTTAGACAGATAAGAAACACTTGAAAGAGAATAAAAACGCTTCTTTGCCTCAAATTCATCCAATATACACGTTCAAATTATTACAAATCGCGTTGGTACTATATCCACACATTGAAAACAACGTCAGTCTTAAATTGGAGAAAAAAATGATTCCAAATTGATGAAAATGCTTTTTGATCGACATACCTTTCGTCGTAGTACGATGGCTATCAATTCGCGACATGATATCAGTTTGAATTCTACGTGAAATTGGTGCGGATATGAGTATGAATAGAAAATCCATGAGCACCCACACGCATTTTTATTCAATTGAATGAATACAAATCTTAGTTTGGTGATGGTTAAGGTAAAGAAATTCATTTTAGTATAAAAAATGTATAGAAATGAAGCGCAAGCTTTCGGGTTAGTTTGGCTGAGCAGGATGTGATTGGAGTTGAAGGTGCGAAAGTAGAGTGTGTATGAACAAAACCAAGAGCTGCACTGTTACGATCGTATTGTTCCCATACAATCGTAAGACGGAGAATAGATACCCTTTCTAGTACATTGGTTAATACGTCTGCCCGGTAAGCAGGAGGTGCATGGTTCGATTCCATGCGAAGGGGGATTCTTTTTCTCCGTTCTGTCGTCATTCGAAGATAAGAGACATAACATGCACCTACACGAATACCCTGACTCCACATTCCTATATTAATTTTATTCTTTTTCTCGCTGCTACTAGCATTGCAGGCTAGTTAGCATTTTATTTTAAATATATTTTGAAAGTCAAAAAGAAATTCAAACAACTACTTTACAACACCAATGGTTAATACTAAAATTTAAGTCACTCAATGAAGCATTGGGAAATAGTCAACAGTAAAAAAATGAATTTTCCAACTCAACCCAATACCCAAATACATAGATTTCATTTCTATATACTATTGATATTAAAGCCAACTTCCAACGCTTATTTCTCAAAGTACTGAATTAAATTTCCATGAAATTATTCTTATAGCCATTTCATTTGAATTGTGTTGAAAAAAAATCGGGGCTTCTTTAGGCTCACTTGCAATGCTGTTGAAAAAAGGTATAATAGCTGACATAAATACAATCAATGCTCCAGAAGTCTCAAGCACTTCTCCGTTACGATCCAGAAATTCAATGAATAAAAAGATTGTTTGTATCTCACCAATATACCATGAAAGAAAATAGACGAATGCCTGTGCCTTATTGATATCTTGCGGTACAGAGTGCTGCCTAACGGCAAATTCAATATTCCAGTATCTTTCCGACAACTATAACTAGCTATAGCTCTGAATAGAAGACCAATCTCATGCAGAGATTTTACGCCTAACTAGTCATAAGATCAGGTATATGCCACAAATGTAGTCAATATGCTATCTGATGGGCGATCTAAAGCGAAAATGCTATTACCGACTTATACGGGGTCACTCCATAGCTGGTGGTACTGAAGTTAGCATAGAGTATCTTGTGGATAAGTGCCAAACGACATAGCGACTAAGTCATGGTTGTTGTGTATATCAGACCATGATGATTTCAAAAGATCAATTAAAGAAAAAAGAACCTGTAAAGTCAATGAATTGCAAAGACAGTTCAAAACAAACAAGACAAATGCTAATGAAAAGCGATAAAAAATATCAAAATGTTTTTGAAAGGATGTTGGTGTGAGTATGAAAAGAATCAAAACACACTCACGTCTAGATCCCATACCCACACCCATCCAGACACCTTCTATAGATTTGAAGGTCAAGATGATTTTCAGGTGAAGAACCCTTGGCAGCTTCAACAGCGCGTTGAGAATACGAAAGTGTATTCCACTGCTCACTCATCTGCATATATATTGTGACAATGTTGTTGCAGCAGTGAGCCAAGTAGGGATGCAACAAACCCATGACTTTAGGACTTGGTGTGGAAAGATTTGTTTTTGATTTTGACTTGGATTTGGTCTTAAAATACCCAAATTTGACGAGGCTCTGTAATATAATGCACCAGAAGAAAGACAAGAATCTAAAGCCCTCAAAATTGATGAAATATTGTGAATTTGGTATAGATTTGGGTTTGAATTTGGTGTTCAGTTTTGATTTCATTTTAACATAGCTCCAAAGTCAGAATCATGTAGATCGAAGACCCAAATCCCAACTCCAAATCCAATTCCCAAATCTTAAATCCAATCGATCTCTAAAATCCTAAGTGCTAAGTCCAAGCCATATCCAAACGATAGCTGCAATCCAAATTCAAACGAACTTCGAATCTAGAACCAAATCTAGACCAAATCCCAAAAAAACAATCCAAATCCAAATATCAAAGATTTAGTCCCAAATCCCAGATCTATTAGAATGTTGCACTCCTAGAGCCAAGCGAAGAAGATTTCAAATGAGCATTGGCTGAAAAAATTTCAAGACCTTTTATGTCAAATACAACAGCTGTCGAGTACTTGTCCATCCTGAAACACACCGCGCCAATATTTTCGTAGCAAAGAGTCATGTTGTGCGCATTTGGAAAAGCACTCTGCGGTAAATTTTAAGGGTATAGGTATGGGTGTGGATATTCATTTTTCTTGAATCAAACCCATACGCACACATACATCCATACGCTGCACAGCCACAGCCATAGCCACCCACACCCACACCCTTTTCTTATTTTGTTTTATTTTGTTGAACAGCTATTGAGTGCATACTAAAGTCTTTATGATTTTCAGAAGACGTTAAATGACAAAAAAAATTGTTAGTAAAAATAAGAGCATAGATTTACTATTGTTCGATTTCTTCTTCCTTCTCTTTTATTGACTTTGTATCATATTTGTTCAAACGAGCGTTATATAATGTACACTAAATTTAACAATTTTTTTCTACGTATTGAAATTGCTATTGAATATATTTGCGTTTGTATACAAAATAACTTCGCACTTTCTTGCGATCAAACATTCTTTCAGATTCGATTTTACCCTTAAAATAAATCAATCCTTTCTTGTCTGTAGCTAAATCCAACAGTTTGGATGAGTAATTTACTCAATAACATCAATTTTATGCCTTCTGATATATACAGGGAAAGTTTAAACCAAATCCAACAAACAAGCCTTCCTCTTATGAATTATAGTGGCGTACCTTGACATTATGTATTCAGCGAACATTAAAAAAATATTTTTATGATAAAGATTAGATTCAGATTGTTGATTTGAAGTACACAATATATAGACTTTAATTTGATACAAAATCCTTGTCTAAATGTCTCATTGTGTAAAGGAATCAATGTTTTATAAAGTGGTATTTATAAATACTGTAGGGCAAGAAAGAATTACAGACACTACGGAAGTATGCCTTGATAAGTCTGTATAAAATTGAAGAATTCTGGTTAGATAAGAAAAAGTACAAATATTTATATTTCACATTTTCTCATCCCATGTCATTATTTGATGTCTCTAATCATGACTGTGATTTACCGTTGTCTGTAGCAAAAACTTGTCTTCTTTTGCTGAAGATTGCGACGCGCGTGATGCAAGCATTTTCTTCTCAGTTGGAATGATTTCATCGTTTTTCATATTCTAATCTCGTAGAGATTCCAATGGACTATTTTTCTTAAACACTCAAAAACTTTATTTTAAACAATTCATGACATCCTGAATTATTGATGATACAGAAATTGGAAGCTATTCTTCTGAACACAACAGCTCTTTAGCAATTGTTGGATAAAGCATAAAATACAAATAGAACTATTAAAATTTGATCTAGAGCATTCAACAATTTTATATTATGACGATATTTTACACTTATTCAATTAGAACTCAAGTGAATCAGCATGCGATAAGGGTTTTATGTCGATGCGCTGGCTTTTTCGCAGGTGATTGATAAACTCATGCCCAGCAACTCACCGCTACTCAGAAGAGAAGACACTCACATCCATCCATCGATTGAATTCATAACCGAAAACGAATCTGAATCAATTATAATTCATCCTGTATAAAACATCTTATTTTAAGTAGTTATTTCATTATCATGTTGATTGGTTACGAATTCAGATGTCTATCTTAGGGGTATTGGATATAGAAAAGAGTATGGGCCTGACGATGAGATTAAATGAAACTTCGTATCTGCACCGGCCTTTAAATCCTAGTGTATCTACAACTGCAGTCCGATCGAAGCGTGACAAAAGAGATGGGTTTGAATGTTCTCTTCACCTACACCCATACCCTTAAATCCTTTACAAATATTACATATACGGATGATTTAACAATTGCATTACTTAACAATATATTCAAGTTAAGACTTTATAAAAATTAAAATAATCATGAGTAAATTTCATTAGCAGAGTTCATTTAATAGAATTTTTATTTTCATATTTCTAAAAGTACATTGATACTAAGGTGGATAAAAGAAATTTTAAATCAAAAATAAAACTATTAGCAATTGTTAAATCATCCGTATATGTAATATTTGTAAAGGATTTAAGGGTATGGGTGTAGGTGAAGAGAACATTCAAACCCATCTCTTTTGTCACGCTTCGATCGGACTGCAGTTGTAGATACACTAGGATTTANTATCTGTTTTGTAAACTATTTACTGCTGTCTTTCAAGTAATACCTTTTGTCTTCAAAGTTTTCGACTTCGAACTTTCGACAACGAGGGTGACCGTTAGCTGGCCATGCCCATATATAAAATTCAGATAAAAAGGGCCCTTTTATAAAAAAATGAAGGAATTATAATTTTTTTTAGGAGAAATACAAGGAGTTTTGCTTGCGAATAATACAAACTTAAGATTTCTGTAAAGCAACCTCTTGTTTAAGTTGATAAAAGGACTTTGTTATCTTGATCGATCTAGATCAGTGATACACTTTATATTTGTAAATATGAGTTTTTGAAAATGAATTTTTTATAAAGTGCATTAACAAATGGATGATATGAAAGATTAAAAAGTCGTTTTATGTGTGGAAACAGGTAGTATATTTAACGACGATTAATTAAATAACTTTCGTTAAGAATGAAAGTATTCATTAAAATACGTTAATATATTTAACTCTCGAAAACGGGTACTAGATTCAACGAGAATTAATCAGCTAACTTTCGTTACGAAAGAAAATATGAAAGCGTGTTAATATATTTAGTGCGTGAAAACAAATGTCATATTTAATGATGATTAATAGCTAAGCTTTCGTTAGATTAGAAATATTCATGAAAACGCGTTAATATATTTAACGATGAATAACGAGATAATTTCCCTTAAAAATAAACTCATGCATGAAATTTTTTTTAAAATTTCGTGAGTTTTTAACGACCGCTGGGAATTTAACGAAATGTAATGATGTTTTTCTCGTGAAATCCTGTTAAATTGATATTTAACGCACATTTTGGCGTGAATTTCAGCGAAAGCGCCGTTAAATATATTTTATTTTTATATGAGAAACCTATGATCTAGAAAATAGTTGAGAAGATTTCTGTTCTTACTGCTTTTGTTTTATTCGTGATATGGAAATTCTTATGTGAGGTTTCTCGGAAAGTTTGTTTAGTGTCAACTAGATTCATGAAAAGCGATATCAGGTTATGTTGAGTGCAATATAACTGAATCGAATGCTAGTAATTGTTGAGTATGGATTAGAGAACTGCAAATAATTTTCAGGTGGAGGCTGGCGGCGAAATAGGAGACATCGAATGAGAATCGAAAAATTTCAACCATTGCACAACTATAGTTGATTTATGTGGACTCTTGAGTCTCTTATATAGGATTAGCTTGAAAGATTTTGATCTAATGGTTCATATTTATTCAGAAAAAACGCTAACTGCATGCATAGTTTCTGATAGCAGAAAAGATTGAATTTTTCAAGCAGCATAAATTATATAGTTAACTGTTTGATACGGCTGCATCAAACTGAACTCTTGGCCAAGTCCAGCTGAACCAGTCTGACCGCTGTTAACCGTGTGAGCATGAGAACCAGCTGAATTGATCGTAATCCTCGTTGTATCGATTGGGATTGTATGAGAATGAGAAGATTGGTCGCTACCAAAACCGCTGGGAGGCATTCCCCATCTTCCGTTACCAAATGGTCCGCTGTCTCCTGTTTTACCACCATGATCATGACCAGGATCATAAATGGAGTGCGAATGAGCACCGCTGTATGACGTAGAGAGAGAACCTGCGCTATGCTCATGTGGTGGAAGTTGATCAATAGTTAGTTGATACGTAGCTTGTCCACCTATCGATCCTAATCTATCTATTCCAGTAACATTTTCTTGTAACTCGTCTACGCCCACCGGTACCCGCCCACGAAAATCTGGCAAATGAAATGTATCGTTATCATCACCACTTCCATAATTTGTGCCAATTACCCGAAAGAGTTCATGAAACTCCTTTCGTGAGACAGCTGAACCATTACAAAGAAGCCATGGAGCGGGGAGAGCAGTCTGATCACCTGCATAGAGTCGTATTTCACCTGTTAGAATCATGTTGGAGTCACATAATATAGATGGGATAGATGTAGTTGTCGAAGTTGAAGGAATAGATGTAGTTGTCGAAGTCGAAGGAATAGATGTTGTTGTGTTAGACTCAAATGTTCCTGGTAGAGCAGGAAAATTCAATGCACTTATAGTTCGCACAATTGCACCATCTTTCTTTTCAGCGATTAATTGTTTTGATATGATACCAACTTGTACTTGATCCATTAAATCAGCCAATTTATAAACTTGAAATGATTTTGGAGTTACTTTTTCGCCCTTAAATTGTAATTCTGTACCCTGTTGTGTGAACATACGTTGAATATCATCGGATGAAAACTGATTATGTGTTGTTTCATTCAGTTGATTGTAGAGAGAATTATATGAGCTGTCAGCGGTTTCACCATAAGCACTAGCACTAAACTTTGCACCACCACTGCCAAATGGTACACTAAGATGAGCTTCCGTACTGATAGAGGCACCACCTTTCGCTGAATGGCTTTCGGCAAGTTTATTCATATTTGCTTTATTAAAATCATAGTATGTACTGCTAGAATTATGTCGTTTCGTTTCAGTATCATTGTATGTAAATATTTTACTTAATTCTTCTGTAATACGATCAGGATTCAGATCATATGGTGACCACATTTGACCGAATGTGTCTGCATCAAGAAGTGTTTCTTTTGAATTTTCCATTGCTAAAGAAAATGTATAATGCATCAGTGAAAACAAGTCTCAACGGTGTGCTATAACTCTAGAAGTAACGCTAATAGTAAAGTCACTGTACGACGTAAAGTCTGCGCATAATGGATTTCAGTTTTCAGGCTCACACACTCGCTTTATTCTATGGAAACACTGTTTTATTACCTTGTTGTAACAGCCCAGCGAATTGTTCATCTAAACCGTCAGTCATTTGTGATAGATTTGCATTTGGATTTTCAATGTACATCATCTTATTAACATTAACAACATAACGACCAACATATTTTGATGCTTGATTACGATGAATATATGTTGCATTAGTATTACCACCGTCAGCTGTTGTTTTACTCAAAACACTCTTCAGTTGATCACCTGTAATTGAGACGAAGTTCACATGTCCTTCACGTATACCACCAAAATAAAAAGCAATTTCAATTTCATAATCACCGTTGAACAATCTCTCAGCAACTTGACGTGCACGTTCTTCTGTTGTACAATGAAAACGAAATGTTAGATACAACGAATTTGGATGTATAGCACGATGTGGTTCAACACCAGCAACTGGTGATGAACTACCTTGAACAATATAGGCCATCAATGTTTCAATAATCAATGGAACAACATCTCAATGTTCTGATGATTCACTTTGTGTAGAATTTGAAAATTTTCGAAGAATTGCTTTACGAGCTAATTCTTCTACTTTTTCATTACCTACCATCAGACGAAGACGAACTTCATTCCCAATGGCTCTCACCCATCGATCGTGATTAGGCAGTGCAACAGGCGACATAACAGGCAAATAGAAGAAGAGCCATTTGTTTGAAGGCGCATTTTCATTTGACTTGGATTCGTAGACATAGACTCGACTATCATCATACGTGAATATCGTTAAGATATTTGTGTTGATCACTGCTTTTGCAAGTGTTGGAGCTTTGTCAACGTCATTTTTGTCTATCAATGCTGACGCCAGAGGTGAAAGAATCAATGTATCATTGCCGTTGGAACTGCTGTCATTAATTGCAGCGCTAGCACCATTTAGACTTACTTGACTTGATACCAACAAAAGTAGATACACACACAGGCGTGATATCATGATAGAAAAAGTTAAAATATATGTCAATTTTGTATAGATTCGTCTTCTTTTTATACAAAAGTCAAGTGTAATTAAGTGTTAAATTACCGATTCATGACATACATTGGAAGAAAACAAAATGAAAAGTGATATATTCGAGAAAAATACTCATCTTGTAGGTACTTTTTATTCATCGACAAGGATGGTAAATTAGCATTAGTATTACAAAAATGCTAATAATTTAAGCATTAGTATTAAAATTAAGCCTAGCGCTTTAGCATTATTGGGTGTGGGTGTGTGGAGTGTGGGTGTGTGGAGTGTGGGTGTGTGGAGTGTGGGTGTGTGGAGTGTGGGTGTGTGGAGTGTGGGTGTGTGGAGTGTGGGTGTGTGG